TAAAAACTAAAACTTTTTTGTTACATTCTTTTTCTTCTATCATGTATTTAACAGACAAGAATGTCAGTCATGCATACATCTGACAACCACAAGATTACAATTTACTTTAAATGTCTTAAAATATCTCTCATCAACCTATTTTTATTTATTTTTTTTTTCTTTTGCTACTGTAAAACAACTACCCCTTTCTGAATTAGAAATACGACCACAATTTTTTGGTGAGAAAGTTCGTTTAATGGGTTGAAGTAACTTGACTCTGAAGTCTCAAGTATGCAATCATTAGCCTGTTAAAGACAGAATTTGATCACCTCAAATAGTATTTTACATTTTTTATTTATTCAGAGTTTCATATAAGTTGTCAAAGCTAAACATATGTGATTAAGTGTAATGAAATGCCTCTTTTGACCTCGGATAAACCACGAAGCAATTTATATGTACTATAATTAGCCTCATGCATAGGTGCAAACCAAGGCTTACTTCCTTTTTTTATATATACTTTTTCAAACGAAAAAACATACACACTGTCACATCAAGGGAGACTTGGTATGAAAATATTTACTATTCTAAGCAATTGACAATCATAATTATTATATACTTGACTTATAAATACTAAATAGTTGTCTGAGTTGACCACAACTTGACCGATGGGTTGAATAAGTGCAGTTTGCCTTGATTACACTTGTCCATGAAATTCTTTATAACCAACCATATATCTCCCTATTTTCATACCATTATAGGACTGTCCATTTATGACCAAAATAAATAAATATGCAATATTCTTACTTTTGTCAAAAAAGCCTAAAAATCATACTTTCCGATGATTATCTCTTAGAATGCACTATACCACTCAAAGATTACAATGAGTGGTCCCAACTAGTAATCTATGGGATCAAACCTTGTCAGGGGCCTGCCATTGTTTCTTTGAGCAAGAAACTTTATACACTGTACTCATTGCTCTCAGTACTAATTGGTTCCATTTTCTGATTTCAGAGTGTGTTTGTAAGCTCCAAGCTTCCTACCCAATCAAACTTAAATAAATTCTGTATAAACCAAAGATTACATTTGGTATGTGCTCTTCCTCACTCTGCACTTGGTAGCATACAGATTATGCAATGATCTAATGTACTTGATATATTTTCATAATGATTTACAACAATTATTATGAACTTTTAATTAATGATGCACTGAATTATCACATCGAAAAATTCAATACAGAAATGAGCCGCGTCACGACAAAACCAACATAGTGGGTTTGCCACCAGCATGGATCCAGACCAGCCTGCCCATCCGTGCAGTCTGATCAGGATCTATGATGTTCGCTATTAGTTTCTCTACTTGTAATAGGGTCCGAAAGTGAACAGCATGGAACCTGATCAGACTGGGCGGATGCGCAGGCTGGTCTGAATCCATGCTGGTCGCAAACGGCTATGTTGTTTTTGTCATGGCGCGGCTCAAATGTACTTATAAAGTATTTTTTCTCCTCAACATTACAAAAGATCAAGGTTAAAGCTGTCGAATAGTTATTATAAATCTATTTTAAGTTATAACTCTTTCATCAAATGAATTATGATTAAAATCTTAATTACTTAAAATCTTGCAATGACTTATCTTTTGTCATCAATTATATTCAAAACAAATCTATGGGTTCTATACACAGGAAACTATTTTTTTTAAAAATCAATCAAAAAAAGAATTTTTGTTATTGAAGGCGACAAGATCCTACAAACATCTTTATCATCCATTCAATATCATTATCAAATTAAATTTATCCCATAGAAAAAATCTTTCAAATCTAAATGCAGAAACGTTTTTAAACTTTGCATTAAATTTAAATGTCAATGTAGTTTATTGTACTAAAGTGAAACTTAGGACTGACACGTCATTGTACGCGTATTTTTTTCTGTATCATTACGAATACAATACTGCACAGTGACACAAGTAATCGCTATATCTAAGTAAATAACAACAATTATACTGATTGTAAAACGTTGTTACAGAATACGAAATGTCTTCATTTGCACTTGTATACCTTTCATGAACGTTTGAAAATCGAAATCGAAATACCACATTCTCATTCATCTATACTTATGTGTGCCTTAAAATTTCATGCATGTATAAAATTGAAATTAAACGCCTAAAAGACGTCTTTATTGCGTTAGAAATGATATATCTGACCATTTTTGACACTTCATGGTTTATATTTCAACCGTGAAGCCGCAGTTCATGTGCTATTCTGAGATGTAAATCATATTATAATACTTATACTGTTTCTAAGTCATAAATTATTTTAACATGAAAACTAAATCATTTTGATTTTGTCATGTAAACAAGATAATGTTCATTAAGCTCAGGGCCAAAACACCACTTTTGGGGAAAGGGCCTCAGCCTTTTTCTTGGGGGAAAATATGCGTGATTTTGGCATACTTTTGGAAAAGGGGTCTCAAATTTAACACAAACTTTTAACAAGTTCTTCAAAATAGAAAAGCAAAAAGCACTGGGAAATACTAATAAGGCAGTAAAAGACCTTAATTCAACACCATCATTTAATTTTGTTCTAAATTCTATGGGAAATTTCAAAAGACTGGGGAATTTTGAGGACCAGACTGGGGAAAAAAAGTGGCTAGTTTGGTTGGGGAAGCAGCCTATATTCGGCCTCTACAAAGAAGGGTTTTTTGGCCCTGAAGCTATGTTCTGAAATAACACATAGAACATAATAAAAGTAATGATGATATGATGATGATAAATGATGATGATGATGATGAAAATGATGTTGAAATAAAAACAATAATGAAAATAACAGTTTTGATAAACAAATGATAATGAAGATAGTAGCAACAATCCTGATGATGATGATGATGATGATGATGATGATGATTACCTTAATCATTATTACGTTTGCGTGATGTAAGATTTTGATGATGAACACTGTATTGAAAGTAATAATTACAACAAGAGCCCGGTTTGAGCCGGGTGATGCTCCCCGAATAGGTTTTGGACACAGGAAAGTACACCTCTTGTAGTTTCAGAGTTATGTCCCTGGAAAAAGTTCAAAGTGCATTAATTTCAAAATTAGGCAAGGCAGAGTTACTGTTTTTTGCACTGCACTTCTAATCAATGTGATCTATCAACCTACAAAGTTTCTTGTTGATATCTCTTATGGTTTCCGAGTTATGTCCCGGACAACTTCAAAAAGTAAAAATAAACAAAGGGCAATAACTCCAGACGGACTGAAGGACACTCTAAAGTTATTTTTTAAACATCCCTGTTATCAAAATATAACATTTTTAAAATCCTATCATGATTAAAAGTTGGAGTAAAAATTACCAATTTCTCAAAAAAAAGTCTAAGTTCAAAAGGGGCATAATTCTGGAAATAGTCTTGCTAGAGTATTGAACACGCAGAAACATTTATATGAAGTTTGAAGTAGATACATTCAGAAAAAGAAGTTATTAAAAAAAACAATGTTTTTTTCATGAAAATTTTAAGTTCAAGGGAGGTAATTCTGATAAATTTTGTGCTAGAGTTGTAAACCTTGTCACATATGATGTGGTTGATGACAAGCAACTTATATTTAAAGTTTGAAGAAAATACCTTAAGAAATAAAGAACTTATAGTGAAAAAACTTAAAAACTAGAATCAGAAATCTTGAAATTCAGTCTATTTGTTGCCATAGCAACCAGAATTTTCAACATAGGAAGATAAAAAAATATGTGCATAATTTCCATACTGCCATCTACCCATATGTCAAGTTTCATAAACATATTTTCAGTACTTTTTGTGTTATCACTGGATCCGGGTTATGTGTAAAATTTGCCGTATTTTCAGTCTATTTGTTGCCATAGCAACCAGAATTTTCAACATAGGAAGAAAAGAAAAAGACGTGCATAATCTCCATACTGCCATCTATCCATATATCAAGTTTCATAAAAATATTTTCAGTACTTTTTGCGTTATCGCGGGATCCAGGTTATGTGTAAAATTTGCCATATTTTCAGTCTATTTGTTGCCATAGCAACCAGAATTTTCAACATAGGAAGAAAAGAAAAAGACGTGCATAATCTCCATACTGCCATCTACCCATATGTCAAGTTTCATTAAAATATTTTCAGTACCTTTTGCGTTATCGCGGGATCCAGTTTTGTGGACGGACGGACTGACGGACAGACAGACGGACGGAGGGTAAACCTAAAGTCCCCTCCGGTAAACCGGTAGGGGACTAATTAGGACAAAAGAGTTATTGTTCTTATGCACTGCACATCTACCCATTGAGATCTATTCACCTACAAAGTTTCATGTTGATATCTCATATAGTATTAGTTATGTCCCAGACAAGATTTTTTCTATAAGGGGAGATAATTAAAAAACCGAGCAAAATAGAGTTATGGTTCTTTGACAATGCACTCCCCCTCAACGCCCTCTACCACTGTATGAAGTCTAAACAAATTATCTCCCAGGGTTTTCAAGTTATGCTCCGGACAAGACAACGGACGGAAGGACGGACGTCCTGACGGACAAGGTGCCGACTATATGCTCCCCCGAAATTTTTCGGGGAGCATAATAAAAGTAATACTGATAAAGATAACAACTGTGAATGATGATGATGAAGCTGATGATGATGATGATGGTGGTGATGATGATGATGCTGATAATGATGATGAAGGTGGTGATGATGCTGATGTCAGATGAAAGATGATAAAGACTTCATTTATAATGATTATGATGAAATATTGTGAACATAGTAAATGACATAACACATACAATTATGTAGACGATGTGCATTTTATTATTATGAAACGATAAATAATAACTAAAATAAGTGGAGAAATTGGGACATGCTTGATGAAAATTGAGTAATGGTTAACCCTTACCTAAATATTGAATTTCAATGAAATATTTCGTGAATTTTTGTTTATTATCATCACTGCTAAAAAAAGCTCTAACCTTGTCACATACACAATGCATGCATATCATTTAATGTATAATATCATATAATGTTTTACCTGAACATAGAGGCTTGAAGAATGACTAGAAGGTACATTTGAGGTAGAATGGTGTTTGCCGGTGGGCAATCCATTATGACTAGATCCAGATTTCATATGATGGTGCCGACCTGGATGAGGTACAACAGGCCGGCTCATTTTCTGCGGTGACATTAACTGTTCTATTGTCACTGGAGTACACACTCCGCGATGAATAGCACCACAAGGGGACATAACCCCATTCACAGACACATCTCCGTAGTCGCATGTCTGACAATGATGTAAGGCTCTACGCCATTTGAGCTCGATCCTGCTACTATAGTAGAGGGTTACCTTTGAGTGAACGTACTTAATACAAGCACCACTACTAGTTCTGACTTCGCTCATTTTCACGATATTATTGTTATGGTTCACATTATTCCGGATATTATTTTTCAGCTTTACTCCATTTTTCATAAAACCGACCGGTAATTTCACCGGCGGCGACTCGAAAAGCACTTCCTCCTTCATCATCATGTTGAACCAATTAAATTTCAATTTAAACTTTTTAAGATTTAATTAAATCGGTCACATGTATCCCACAGTTGTCATTCATTATATATCTATCATTGAACTGGTCAAATCCTGCGGATCAATGTTTAAATATGTTCTCATAAATATTTAATCAATTCATCCATTTAATCCAGCCACGATCCACTCGAAGACACTGTAAGCAGGAGACCAATTATTTATTTAAACATATTTCCATCAATAAATCATATTTGATTTGGTAACTGAGATTTAAAAACTGACAAAACAATTCCAATTCCAATCAAATCAACACCATATTAAATCATTTTTTAAAGTAAATATTGAATAAACTTTTTTAAAGTAAATATTGAATAAACTTCAGATATATTTCAAAATCTTAAATAGCAAGATTTTTGAATTATTTCAATATCAAATTTTCCTTATATATATATCTTTAAATCACAGTTTATTTATTCCTATACAAAGACACAATTACACCGCATTAGATAAATATCACAAAATATGAACATTCCATCCACAAAACAACAGGGCAACAAATTAAAACCTAGATAACATACTGATAATCTAAGATTTTTTTTCATAAAACTCCTGAACTTTACATCCAAAATGTTAATTTATACTGTAAATTTCATTCAAGATCATGCCCATTACTTTACATACAGCTTTATATCAATTAATCATTTACCAGTCAATTATCATGGCATACTTATGACAAATACTTAATCCCAAATCTCCATACAATAGAACCGGCCAAATAATCAAATAATCATCAACACGTCTACATTCCTGATTTACTCTAGCACGAAAACTTTTTGTGACACGAGTTATTAACTAATTTTACTACTCCAGTACGAAAAAAAAATACCGCTCCATATAAGTGTAAGATTTTATTTTACTAGGGCAGTCTTTTCACTAACGTTAATCTTCTCACCAACAGCCTTTAATCAAAAAGAAACTGATCCACTTAAATAAAAATTAACGGACCACTCATTTTGAAAACCACAGACCATGATTAAACACTTATACATCCTTCCAACTTAAAAAAAATCCCAATTCACTGAAAAGACTGTAACAGTTTGTCTATTGTTCATGATAATAAAGTATATAAATATTGTAATCTAGAAGAAAAAAAATCATCAAGAAAAGAAAATAAAATACTTCTGAAATGTAACCAATACTGAATATTATCTAAACTTGACATCGTGTTTACATTAAACTGATATGTCATTTCTAACCACTGATTAAACCATGAAAATCATCTTTTTGAAAGCCAACTCTTTTTTCAAAACCACTTTTTTCCATACAGATAAATCATAAAAGGGGTCCTGGATTAATTATTTGATATCACATTCCAAATGCACACTTGGAGTTTGTTTAATAATCGAGACGTGACTAATACTTATTTTCAATATGAAAGTTAACCACAGACACACATGTATTAAAAATATTCAAAGAATGTAGCAATTTATACATGCAGTTCAAAACTAGCAGTATATTTACAGGACCTTCAACTCAACTCACACCTCCACTGGAAATGTTAGTGGTAAAAATAACAAGATTAAACCAAGATAATTTCAAGAAAAGATTTACTAACTTAACCTATTAATCAAATTCTATTGACATGAAAAATTAAAAGGTGCATCTTACATCATAGGATGAAAATTGTGAAAAAAAAAATAAATCCCCCTGTCTCAGATAGATAGTTGCTATGGAAATACATACAGGTTAATATCCCCTGCATAATAAAAAAACAACTTTACCATAAAATTGTGAAATTCCGTAATAGAATTGTCTTTGGCATTATCGGCACATTGCAATATTTTTTTTCATCAGTCTCTATATTGAACAATAGCATTTCATTTACTATTAATTAACATATTATTTTGTAAATAAGAAATGAGTCGCGCCACAACAAAAACCAACATAGTGCGTTTGCGACCAGCATGATGCCAGACCAGCCTGCGCATCCGCGCAGTCTGATCAGGATCCATGCTGTTCGCCATCAGTTTCTCTACTTGTTATAGGGTTGGTAAGCAAACAGCATGAATCCTGATCAGACTGCGTGGATGCGCACGCTGATCTGGATCCATGCTGGTCGCAAACGCACTATGTTGTTTTTGTCATGACGTGGCTCTTTAATGATTTCCAGAAAAACGTTTTGGAAACTTTCATTTTCAACCATATTTTATAATACAAAAAAGTTTAACCCTAAACTCTTACTATTTAAGAGTCAACTGCTTTCAACACCTAAAATATATAATATACTTAAGATGCTGGCTTCATTCACACCCTCATCCTATCCCCATTGTATAATCTGAAATTACAAATCCTATCCTAGCCAAAGTATATCACAAACCCATAACCTGAACACTTTTTTACATAAAGTAGGTGAAGTGTTTGAGGTTGCTTCATCTGTAGTGTTCAGCTGCAGACGACAATCATTTAGGAATGCAGCAACATTTTACCACCTACAGTTGTATAATGTTAAGCAAACTTTCTGATCCCTATTTATTCTAATAAGATGGAAAGAGAAATATGTTTATTCATAATAAAATGGCAAATATTATGACTGAAGATTTTATATTGACGTTGTTACTTTCATTTTTTGTTCTCTTATAAATCATGGTTATAAGTCTGATGCTTTGAAGGTAGGCTTGTTTCACTGATATAGTGATCAAGACTTTAGATGCTTTTGTATCCATTATTTCAAAGTAAGGGTGGGCATCTTTGACCCATCTCCTGTAAGTAAACTGGGCTGCTTTTTAAGTACCTGATGAAACAATTTAAATATCCATAACATTGCGCCGAATGGTACCAACGAAGCTAACCTTGATAGCAATAAAAATTACAAGTGTCTCAGCAACTTAAAAACACTCGCACAGATAGATATTATCATGTGACCCTTTTATGCGACATATGACTAAAAAAAAAATCATACACATGTATACAAAATACAATCAGAGATTGAAAATTCCACTCATCTGCTCATAATTATGTGTAAATTCAAGAGAACTAGATGCAGGAGTAGAAAATGTTGCCTACACATTGGAAATACTCTTTGATACGAAATTTCCTCACTTTATAACATAAGATTTTACCTTGATTACTAGTATGAAAATTTGGAAGGTTTTTTTTATCATGCCCCTACACAGGTGTATCTAATCAGCCACAGCAAAAGTGTTGTTTTTTATGAAAGCACCTCATTTTTTTCAAACTGTTAAAACAGATGTTGTTGTGTAATGTATGGTTTCATGTCAAATCAGGTTGCTATGTAATTTGTTTGATTATCATCCTACCGACCTTTGAACTTGTGTCGGTCTAGATATTAACACTGTATGAATTTCAGACATGCTCCTTAACATGGTTCACAATTAGGGCTGGGGCGAGTATCCGAGTACTCGGATAATCACGAATCAAAATGAAGATTTGAGTTTTAATATTCGTAAGCCCAGAGATCGTGGATCGCGATCTAATTTTTTTTATATACATTCACTGTCTACACGTATATAGTGAAAAAATCAACAAAGGGCCATAATTCTGTTAAATCTGGTCGCAGCGAAAATTCCTTCCTTAACTACCATCTACACATGAAGGTTGTTCATCCCTGGAAGTTTAAGCAAAATCTGCCATCCGGTTTAAGAGGAGTTGCGTTCACAAGATTTTGGGACGTACGGACGGACAGACGTACGGACAAGTGCAATGCTATATGCCCTCCACTTTGTGGGGGCATAAAAAGACATACTTTTAGAAATAATCATAATAATAATCAAAAGTACAGTATAGGTTCCTCAATAAAAGACCTTTCATGTAGAATTTCGTCAACTTATTTGAAATGAGCTATGTAAACAATGACCCATATTTGTTTCTAACCAACTGCTCTGCTAAATCTGTATAATAGACATATCTTCATGCTTCAGGACTCTAAAATATTGCTACTGACAGTGTGGAGTCTGGTCAGTTCGTGTGAGAGAGCAGGCTGGCTTGATTTTACACTACTGACACTTATGCAAGTCACTGTATCATCATTGTAAATTTACATCAACTTACTGATTTTCCCAGTAAAATTCAGTGACAGCTTATTTCAAACCATGATAAAAACAATCTCATTATATGTAGGGCGGACAAGGAATAACTTCCTGTTAATATGTGTAATAATGACCTGTCTATGCCACCAGTGGAGCCTTGCCAGCAGGCACTTCCGTGAAGTTTGACCACTTTAATAATGATTATGTTGATTGTTGGCTGTTCAATTTTAGAAATTTCATTTTGAAATTACTTTTATTATATTTTATGGCTAAATTATATTAAACATTCAAATTAACATTAAAGTAATCAACATTTTATATATCAGATTCGCTTTTATATTACAAGCTATTAAAACAAAATAATAATCAATCAAGCCAATAAGCAATGTGAACAATCCACTCCACCCATGAATGAAGTAAAATTCAAGCTTTTTTTCAAAGGAAAATCTCAGAAACTCTGCACCATAAAAACAAACCAAAATTGGTACAATGTTTTCATAACTACATGTATCTCCAGCACAGTATGATAATTGGCTTTATATAGTGGTAGTTATGAAACAATTTTATCATCTTTATTTATTTTTAAGGCATTGTTCAAAGTAAGCAAGATAAAGATTTGTTGAAATTGGCTAAAATTGCACCTTTTACAACGCAATTATCTTTCTTCAAATGATAGTTAACTGAACTACCCACCTTGCATCATTACCACTGTTAAATTTGTGGCAAGCATTAAGCAATATTCTACCTCCCTTTTTTCTCACTACAGCTGCCCATATAAATTTGATAGATTCTGATTTCATTACTTAAACATGTATATTTGAACATGACTGTGATGACAAGACAATTAATGAACAGTCATTGAAAACTATCTACTTAATATCTATTAATAACAAATGTATAACAATTATACCATGTTCTATATAGTGAAGCAAAAGACAGTAAATCATAAAATATAACAAACAGACTACAGTGCTTTAATTCCAGCTTGCACAAATATAAAATTTTATCAAACCACTTCTAAATATATTAAATTCTAAGTTAGAACAATTGCAAGGAAAAAAAATCCTAAAATTTTCACTATAACTGAAGCATTTTAAATGAGATAATTGTTATCACACATTAACCTTGAACCAACACAAACGTTACTCATTTCCTATATACCTTAGCATCGAAACCTTACATTAATCCTTTAGTCCACTTCAATATCAAAATACACAAAGTAAAAAAAAACAGTAGCTAAAAAACAGCGGAAGAGTAGCTTATCACAAACTGGCATATAGTTACATCGGAAAGTGCAATTCATTTGAAATTATTATTTCCTGAGTCGGTTTTTTTTCTAACAAGCTGACTGTACAAGTGTAATCTGAAGTATATAGTATATGTAGGATGTATTTCATTTTTTCTGTTTAATTATTCACCACACAGTCATTTATTCAATGCAGATAATATTGCAAAGAAAACAACAACAACAAGAGGGCCATGATGGCCCTGGGGTCGCTCACCTGAACATAGGCCCCCAGGGCCGGGCCAGTTTAAACCAAAGGGCTTTTATTTGAACAAACTTGGAAGACACCCATTAGAAGATGTTTCATGCTTAATATCTTAGCTCTAGCTCTTTGGGTTCTTTAAGAGAAGATTTTTTTAAGTTTTTACTATATGCATATAGGGAAAATCAATGACCCCCTGGGGCTGGGCCAATTTTGACCCCAGGGCTTTTATTTGAACAAACTTGGTAGACATCCATTAGAACATGTTTTACGCCAAATATCTAAGCTCTAACTCTTTGGGTTTTTTAGAAGAAGATTTTTTTAAGTTTTTACTATATGCATATAGGGAAAATCAATGACCCCCTGGGGCAGGGCCAATTTTGACCCCAGGGCTTTTATT